TTCCCTCTCTGATGCTATTAAAGTCAATACCGTATTGACTAATTTGAATTTGAGTTGGAACAGGATTGGTGCTTCTGGTGCTGCTTCCCTCTCTGATGCTATTAAAGTCAATACCGTATTGACTAGTTTGTATTTGAGTTGGAACGTGATCGGCGCTTCTGGTGCTGGTTCCCTCTCTGATGCTATTAAAGTCAATACCGTATTGACTAATTTGGATTTGAGCAGTAACGACATTGGTGATTCAGGTGCTGGTTTCCTCTCTGATGCTATTAAAGTCAATACCGTATTGACTAGTTTGGATTTGAGTGGGAACGGGATCGGCGACTCAGGTGCTGGTTCCCTCTCTGATGCTATTCGAGTCAGTACCGTATTGACTAATTTGAATTTGAGTAGGAACAGGATTGGTGATTCTGGTGCTGCTTCCCTCTCTGATGCTATTAAAGTTAATACCGTATTGACTAATTTGAATTTGAGTGAGAACAGGATTGGTGCTTTTGGTGCTGGTTCCCTCTCAGATGCTATTACAGTCAATACCGTATTGACTAATTTGGATTTGAGTGGAAACGACATTGGTGATTCTGGTGCTGGTTCACTCTCTGATGCTATTTAAGTCAATACCGTATTGACTAATTTGGATTTGAGTAGAAAAGGGATTGGTGATTCTGGTGCTGGTTTCCTCTCTGATGCTATTAAAGTCAATACCGTATTGACTAATTTGAATTTGAGTTGTAACTGGACTGGTGCTTCTGGTGCTGGTTCCCTCCCTGATGCTACTAAAGTCAATACCACTTTGACTAATTTGAACTTTTAGTCGGATCCAGATTGGTGATTTTGAACGTGCTTCCCTCTCATACACAAACGGACAATATTGCATTCAGTATAATTGTTGTAGGTTTCAAACTACTTGTTAGGGCTTGTAGCTAACCTAACCCAGTATCTTGTATAGCGTGCAAGAATGTAAATGCCTGATTTCTGTGGAATTGCTGTAAATTATTGTTGTAAAGTTTGTTATCGCCAGGAACATGGCAGTCGTAAATATACAGTGTGGCTTCCAGAAGAGAGTTTGCGTGAGTGTGTCTGAATCTTGATCTTGAAAATCGTTTCAATGTAAAAATACTTTTCAAGATTGTAACCTGTGTCGGAATCTGATCAGCGCTTACGTGTCGCTGGCGACTTAAGGTAGTCGTAATTCAGGGCTTCAAATAACGGCCGGTCAACGGACAATGTCCGGTCAAAAATAGTTTTGTCCGGTCAAATCCTTAGATGGCCGGACAATTTGTCCAGTTGTTCCCGCTGGTAAAGAAAAAATTCAGAGTTTCAAGTTTTAAATATTTAAAGGTTCGATATTATTGGCGTTTGTGAAAAAAGAGGGGAAAAAAGGCGGATACTTAACTACCAGACAAGAGCTTTTAATAAATGATTCGTAATAGTTATATAATTTCCGGCTATCGTTGCACATTTTCGCTTTGTCATTGACCAAGTCGTCACCGCAAATTAGTGGGTGTAAATTACTTTATTTGAAGCCCTGCTTAAACTATCGAAAAACGGAGGCTCTATTTTCACCAGTACAGTGGTAGACAATTTCACATAGCAATGCCCACAGGAACGGTTGTTGTGTATCAGAAAAGTGCTTTCAATTTATGTCCATCAATTACATTTTACTTCAATTGTATTTGAGACAGAATATTTAATGACGTAAATCGAATGAAAAATTTAGAATCATTTAAGGGACCGTTCATTTTTTATGAGGGAGCGGGAGCTGGTGGGATTTGGGAAGCACCATTTAAAAATCGCATG